TATTTTGGTGGTAAAATGCGCAATAAAAGCATGCTATCGGCATATTCACACGAATTGATGGTTACGTTGTATTTTGGTTTGTAAAATGGGCAATTAAAGCATGCTATCGGCTAATTCACGCGAATTAGTGGTTGCGTTGTATTTTTGTTGTAAAATGAGCAATAAAAACATGCTATCGGCATATTCACATGAATTAATGGTTACGTTGTATTTTGGTTATACAATGCTTGTGATAAAATCATACTATCTGCATATTCACGCGCGAAAAAAAGGAGGAGAGCCATAACTGTGTCCTCAAACTAATATAAAAAAAAATAAATCATTTAAAGATTATATAACGTTAAGTTGATTGGTAAAAAAAAATAGGCTTAGCTGTATGGGGCTGAACATGGAAAGGGCGGGGTTTCTTGATAAATTGTTACGTTGTACCTTGGTTGTAAAATGCACAATAAATGCATGTTATCGGCATATTCACGCGAATTGAAATCATTATTTTGTCCTTGAAATAGCAAAAATATTAAAGTTTACAATCGTTTAAAATTTATATGCTAATTCAGTTTTTTGTATGAGGCTGAGAAACCGTGGGGAAGGCCAGGGCATGGTATAAAGTTTCGTGTCGAATACAAAAAAAAAATATATTTTTCTGATATTGATCTAAGATTGCTTATACTGCTGCTGAAATAACTACAACAATGTCCATTAAAATGGCAACTCAAAAACTAAGTTATATTTTCCATCTCGAATGAGCCCCTGATTGTGAATAAAAGTGATGTGACATGGAATTGATATTATACAAAATGCACTTGTTACTATACTTAAGCAATAAAACCAACAGGAGGAATTTTAGCTGCAGTCTGCAAAATTGTATTTTTTTTTTATATAGGAGGCATTTGTGGATAGAATTAAATATGAACAGCAGCCTTTGCCAAAAGTAAATTACGCTCCCATCAATACCTTTGCCGGTGAATACAACATCTTATAGCAAAACATGTATTTTTTTATGAATATTTTTATAATATAACAATTTTAACATTTTCTCTCGGTTTTCCCATGATTACAAGAAGTTATAAAGCCTGAAGCAATCATATATATTGTTACACTACTCTAATGTGTTGTTGAATGTAATTGGATATCCTGCATTTATCATGCTTTTCTATAAAATAAGGTCAAAATTATTTAAATCTATCCTTTTGAATTAACCAGAATATCTTTGTTTGGATTAAATACACCTAACACCCTCATAGGTATATCTAATACATGCAATAAACAAATCAAATATGCTGTGTTAATACTAGTATATGGCCATGGAAAGACTATATTGACCTAACAAAATTAAAGAAGTACTTCCATGGACAGACTGATGTTTTGTAGAATTTTCCACACTTTTTGTTTCCCTCTTTTCACTTGAAACTCACATTAAAATCAACTTTTGGCATGAACTCAGAATTTACATTAAATTCGCGTGACTGAAATTTGGCTGTGTAGACATTTTATGTTTTGATAATCACATATATCATAAATATTTACAGATAAACTTTCAGTTTCACAAATGTAATGCCCCTTTAGTGTTAAACGAAGCGAGCTCTAGCCTGTTATTTAAGCGCCTCTGAAGATTAGAAAAAGTTTTCTATCTACAAGACTTGTTTAGCATATACATGTCTTGTACGATTTATTTTGTAATGCATAAATTGCAAATCAAACACCATAATAAAAGCAAAAACAAAAAAATGTTTTTAACTACACAGATTTAATCATGATTTTAATATTTTATAAGCCATGCATTCCTTAAATTGGATTAAACTTCGTAGATAAGACATATTGAATTAAAGCTGTAGTTATTTTAAATTTCACAACAAAAAATCTCTCTACAGGAAAACTACTTTGCTTCATAATAACGGAAATTGTTTACAAAAATAAAAGTAGAATCAAAACAATTCTACACGTTAATGTATTTAAGAAATTTTTACAGTTACTAAAAGCAACCCCGAACTATGTTTGACCCACTGATATTGATATCTTGTCGTTCTATAACCTCTAATATCGGTGGTCGTACTTTTGAAGACGTTTTCTAACAGCGACGACACAAACAAGATAGGAAGATACGATTTTGAACAATGTCCAGAACAAACCTATACAGAAATTTAATGCAGAAAGATAAAACAAAAACTATGAATTTGCGAATATGTTTTAATCCGAAAATGCTACCCAACGCTATGACGGAACAACACTATAGTTGTAAAATTGATCAATAAGCTTATTAAGCCAATAAGAAAATTTAAATGATAGTTCCTAAACTTGTTAGATTTATGATAAATATGTGTGGTATGATTTATTGCAAAAGTTTTCCTTACTGTAAAAATCGTCTTTTTTTTAATGAAATAACTGCGATCATTTCAATCTAATAAGTCTCTGTAAACACGCGCACATCGAACCAACTTAGAAATGAACACTCCATACGAAAAGGAAAATTAACAAAAGGAAAGAAAAAGTCGACTGATTTGTCAAAACATGTGGTATGAAGTTAGAATTGAGAACTACGCATATTTTGTCCTTGTACCAACTGGATCAAGCAGATAATTTCACCTCAAAAAAATTTTCGCCTAGCTCCGAAATTTTTTTTGAGGTAAAATTATCGAAATATTCTTTATTAAGCTGAGGACAACCCATGCTTTGCAAATTTTAGGGGGCGCATGCACGCCCGCCACGCCCCCGCCTGAATCTGCCCCTGTCAAGTGCTGTTCGCTGTTTTTTGTTTGTACAAATATTAGAATAAGTAGTTGGGTGTTGGTGGTTGATATATTCCGTTGTACTGTTCAAAATTGTGAGTGATTCCTGTTATCTCGTTTATGGATTGTTAAAGTATCTATTAAATGTTGTTACGTTGGATCTCTATAACAGCTTAAATCTATGATAATATGAATGAAACCATCAATTGTCTATCTATGATAGAACTTACTAGTTTTGCCCTTCAATTACGATTTGTTTTACCAATTTTAACGTTTCTGTCAATTGTCCTGAAACTATTCTATAGATACAAACAGTAGTCATCGTAAATGGTCATTAACACCTAATCTATAATATGGATATTATGACTGAAAGGTTCAATTGACTCATGATAGTAGTTTCCCTCAAAATACGACTTTTACCAATATTGGCGGAAAAAAAACAGTAATTAAAAACAACGAGAACAATCAGCAATACAAAATCTACAAGAATGCTAAAATATGAACTGAAGTATCAATTGACTACTTATAGAAGTCATTGTCCATAAATGCAATTTATATTTATTTTTTTGCCAATTTAAAGCATTTCTTCCTATTATATGTTTGGAAACTATTATATGTATTAGACAGACAAATGAAGGCGTTAGCCCGGATGGGTGACAGGAGGTATTTCAGCATTTGACCTTTTACTTGAGAAAAAACATGATAAATGCAGGATATCCAATTACATTTAATGATATCTTAGCGTAAATTCTAATAATCGGAAACTGTAAAGGAAATATATCAGTAATACAGGATCTGCAAAATTTCTTATATGACTGAAACCATCAATTGATTTCCTTCTGGTTATAATTGCCCGTTATTAACAATTTTTGTCCATCATTTCTTTCTGATATCTTGAAAACGATTAAAGATAGAAAGAAACGGTAAACATGAACAGAATGATAAGAAATACTAGATTGACAATTAGATCAAACGAACTAAAACGGTCAACTAACTGTTTATTGGAGATCATGCCCATTAAATATATTTTTTATGAACTTTTGATGTTTTTTTTTTAGAAGGATAGAGTGATCCTGAGTGTTTCAAGATAAGTGATAAACAAGGATATTGAGATCTTCAAATCACTTCCTTTGAATTGAAATTTAGTAAAAAGTTTCCTTTTTTAACGTAAATAAACGAACTGATCCTGACACTGGAAAAATTATAATTCATTGGCCTTCATTACACTTTAAAACACTCGAAAACCTGTATATTTTAAGACATATAATTCATTTCCGACAACAAATTGGATGACCAGATAAGAGAAAATAAATATGAAAACGGCATATTTTTCCTCTTTAGTAATTCAGGCTCCTAGGAGCGTCTCTTTCAAAGTCGAATGCGTCTGCCTGGTAAATTAACGGCAAATTTAAAAGACAGAAAATGTGGTAAAATGGGTTCATTTAAATTATTTCTAATTAGGCTTTGAAGATATTTGATTTTTTTTTGCAAAATTTAATTAACTTTTAGAATTTTAATCGTGCTTTTTAGTCCGCTCGAAAAGTTTTATCAACATCGTTGATTAACTGTATTTAAAATGTCTATTAATTCCAGCATCAGACTCATTATGGCATTCTTCATAGCTGTCCCTTTTACCTACTTAATTACGTTTAGAAATAACTAAGATATCATGCATATGATTTGGTGAATTACTTACGGAATGACTGACAATTGTTATCAGACAGTCTACTATTCATTCACCGAAAATCTAAAGCTAAAAGTAAATTCGGGTTTTCAAAGCTTTATATTACACATATATTATAGTTTAGAAAAAATTAAAATGGACAAGATAAATCCACTTTTGAATTGTCATCCTTTTTCATGAGTGATAAAGTCTGTTTGGTTGCGTGGTTCTATAGTTTTCAATACAAAATGTATTTTGAACGGAAAAACGTTTTTCATGTTTCAGCATAGATACTTATAGTATAAGTAATCGAATTTATTAAATATTGACTTTCCTCTATGATAAATTTCTTATTTTCAAATCGTGCAAAAACAACGTTTTTCGTGTGTTTATTAGAAAATCTAGATTTCCAAATGCTGCAATTGAATCATAATTAGTACAATAAACGCTAAATGCATGCTATAAAATGTTCTGTGCAGTAAAATAAACAAAGTTCTAACACAGAAAAAAATGTTTTCAACTTCAGTTATCAGTGAAAATCAAGAATGACAAAAATTCTAGAAGTGAATGTTATTTGATATTCCCATACTTATTTTGTTTATTTCTTTCAGAGACCAAAGTTACAGTTTTGTCCTAGAAATGCTACATGTGGTGATATATTTTTCCAAAGACGATTGCTAAAAGACGGTACAAGACGACCAGAAAACCGCCATATAACAAACTGTATATGTCCAGGAACTGATGGCTGTAATTTTGATGACGATCACACCATCTTTCAAAGTACAACACACAGGTATGCATGCAGGATTTCTAAAATAGAAACAGCAGAAAGATAATTTTCAATACAAAACAAAAACATTAACAAAACTAAAGAAATAAAAAATGACCATGTAACTTTGTCCGTTCACAGTCAGGAACCTCACAGTTGTCTTTGTTCATATCAAAACGGTGTGTTTCCTTAACAGAATTGTAAGGTGATTGTAGATATGTGTTCAATTTATTCACATTTGTCTTATTCTCCGGACAATATTCAACTTTAGCATATGCATGACATTATCACTTGCTTTTTCATTTTTTGTTTCGCATGGTTTTTCTTTCACTCACTTATAAGTTTCATGTTAAATCCTCAAAAGTTTAAGGTCAATATGGATTAGCCCTTTTTAAACAAGACGAATCTAAAGAGAAATTTTAGAAAACCGAGTGTTAAATTATCTTAAAATTAACAAGCATACAACAAACTGTGTAATGTTTAAAACCTTTAAGGTTATTGTAATTTCATCTATATGAATCCAATGAAACATGCAAATATAGGAGTGAAAGCAATTGGAGTCGCATCAAATTAAAAAGAAGTGAAAGCACGTGCGTATGCAGACAAGCATCTCCTGCACTACATTATTCACCCGTAATATGATTTCAAAGTCATGGGTAGTGCAAAATGTATTAACAAAAATACCAACCTCCAAGGTAAATTGAAAAAGGGGGAAGTCCATAAAACCTGACTAAACCAAACGAACTGAAGGTTAGATATGGACTAACATACTGTCATTTTCAGCTACCACTGTAAACTTATTGGTGTCAGTAGCGGATCTATGATTTCCAAGAAGGGAACGGAGGGACAAGCAGAAAAATATAGGGGTACCAGTAGTAAACAATTGGGAAAATGTACTTAAACAAAAGTAGAACCGACCCCTGGGAGTCCTGCATGATTGAAGCATATATTTTAGACGATAAACTGATTAATACATAAGAGTTAGTCGGTTTATTGTATGATATCGTTTAGTTTTATCAGAAGAGATTATTTTGTACTATATAGAAATCCTTTGTCATACAAGTTTTGCATAGTCGACCAAGCATTATTGACAATTTCAGCCCATTTGAATAATATCTTAATTAAAGTGAATCGTACGTATTAGTTCAACAAATCCCATTGCTGAAATGTAGGCATTTTATGATGGAAACAAATATAGCATTCCATGTCGTCAGACAGCATAAAATCTTATCAGTTTCCCAGTCGGTAGCATGAATAATCGTGATGACGTCTGTCAGGAGCAAATGACAAAGCGCAAATATGGAGATAGTCATTCACGTCTCATTTGTAAAATATATTAAAGATGACAAGTCAAAATTTTGAATGACGTTCTAAATATTGGTTTTAATCCCTTCAATGGTGAAAAAATTATAGGTCTTTCACAAACATATTGGGGTGCATTCGGTTGTGAGTAATGACCGTATATTATAAGAAAGATTTTTTACGCCTTATTAGTACTTGTTGACAGATGTCAATATAGAGATATGTATTCCATTAGACACTTGCAACATTGTAAAGAGATAGTTAAATGCAGCGATATCTTCAATACCTACTTTTATTTTGCTCACTTTTTATTCTTTGGTCTTACAACTGTTTTTTTTTTCTTTTCTTCTTCTAATGTACACGAAAGTAGCATCTGTAGTATTAAATTATAAGCATGGTAGTTTTGAGAAAATTTATTTATTTAAAATCGATTTATTTTTGTTTTCATTCTAGAGTTACAGTACTGTTGATATTGTTTTTTTTTTTTTTTAAACCTCTTATCTAGAACATGTTGGAAACATTCTATAGAACAACTATTCCTTCAGATTGCTATTGCTTTCATAACTTAACACCAATTTTGATTAAAGGGTGCATTAGTATGCGATGTACTGCTTACCCTTTCAAAATATCTTATTCTAAATCAGATATTTTGGGGTTCGTATTTCTTAATATTTTTTTAGATTTATATGTAATATTTATGGATTATTAAGTGTCTTCTAAATTTCTTTTATGCCATGGTCTTGTGTTCATCTTTCAATTGACTCTGTTTCTAATTTTTAACCAATCTTTTGCAGTAAACTCAACCATAACTTTGATGTAACATGCTCAGATGAAACATGCTTAAACTAATAACATTTAAAACGAGTATTCATTTTGGTCTTTGTTTTCAGAGAAGCTCTTTGTGCACCAGTGAGCACATACAACCCCTGCAGACCAGGACAAACAGCCCGACAATTACGTATGAACTCTGACAATTTAGATGGACAGTCATACTTTGAGGTAGATTCTTTTAATTTTATGTTTAAGAATGCATTTTTACTAGTATTCTTCTCAGATAACATAGAGTCGACAAGAACTGAATACGAATAGTTTTATCTTCTTTTTTTACTAACAAAAACAATAGAATAGACCTAATTAAACGCCATCATAGGTGTATCTAATACTTAATTAGAAGTGATATCATTTATCAGCAAAAAGTTCAGGTTTTGGTAATTAAACCAGATAAAAACAAGATAGAATAGCGATTCATCTTGTCATACAAAAGCAGTGATTAGGTATCAGTTTGATGACTGAAAAGAGGGCAATTAAGATGAATACCACATCCTTAACTATATAACATCTTCTTTTGAAAGTGTTACTGGATCTGGAAAATTTTATATAAAGAAACTATTCCTGTTTAATCAAAAACAAATTGCTCATTTTGAAATAAGATAAAAGATAAAATAGTTATTTACTTCTTCTATATAAGTAAGATGAAGTCGTCTCGTATCTTTGTGACAAACGCCACACAGATATGGGAATACTTCATCTAAAAATAATGTTAATAACTAAAGGGATAATTGTTAATCATCTTTTTTTGGTTGACCTACAGTCAATTTATGCAGCATTTATCTCCATTTACAAATTGAGAAATTGACTCGAATGTAACTGATATTTCAATATTTATTTACAATTCATAGATAATTTAACAATCCATATTTGCGCTGTAACTTTCATAACATAGAGAATTGACCGGTACGTACCGTTCAACAGTTTTCTTTAGGAAACAGTTTTCGAATATACATTATATTTAGTTTTGAGCACCAAAGACGATAATTCACTTGTTCCCACATTCTTTTAATTTCAGTTTCTTGTAATTTTGTATAATCAATCAAAGTATATCACTGACATTTAATCACCTTAGAGAAGAAATGTCAGCTGTGATATCACCATGATTTAGAAAACATTAGACGCTACCGACGTGTGCAGGTTTTTTGTTTTGAACAAGCTTTCTAGCCTTAAAACATCGGCGATCGTCGAGGTGATATTGTTTGGTCAATATCCTAACGAATCTAAAAAATAGAACGTTTTACATTATTGAGTTTACTTTATCATTGGTGTAATAAATATGACCTAATAAAAATATTGATAAGTATACTTTTCCATGATAAATCTAAAACAAATGATATTTTGATAAAAGAACATCAAGTTTCAGATTTTCCTATTTCTTCCTTCATTTTCATTACCAAAGCGTTGGAGACGCATAAAATGCTACATCATTACCGATCTTTGAATATATTTCGTAAATAAGATCTGATGGGTTAAAGATGATACACGAAATTGATATTAACCGATTGAAAACCTCTAAAATCCGCAAATGATATCAATAAAAATCGGTAGAATGCTGACCCTGGGGTTAATATAAAAATGGTAATGAAATTGAACATCTTTATAAATGACAACCGAATGTCTATTTATGTTATCAAAAGCTAAGTGCAGAAAGCTGTATCTATAAATCTTCTGTCCATTGATCAGTCGTGAACGTCAATCAGAAAACATGTGAAGATGAAACAATGAAAAAGAGAATATCTAAATAATGAAACCAAACAAATATGAGAAAGTACAAGACAAATTTTACGCAATAGAACAGCCGTTTAAAATTATTGATGGTCAAATAACTCAAAACAAATTAAATGGTTGTTCAACCCTCACAATTGTAACAAATGGTAAAAGTCATCTGTTCAATCTCAGGATGGAATTGAGTTGATAATATCTCTTACAATAGGTATATTCTTAAGTGTTAAACGAAACACATGTAAGCAAAAGAAACTACTATATGCTGTGTGAAGCTAATAGAGTTGGAAAATATACACGTAAAGACCAGCGTTATTTAATATCAGCAGGTTAGGTATTTTGAGCATGCTACAATAGCTGCGAACATTATTTAATTTTGAACCATTAGTTAGCGTTTTGTTTTTACTTGTGGTCTTATTTTCTATCATGTTGTTATTATATACTGAGATTTATCTTTTGAGCACTTTTAGTCCACTGATGAGATTAAGATAGAGAAGGATTAAGTTTAAACAAAAAGGTTTAACCTTGCCACGTGAATATGGGCCTGTCTCAAGTCAGTAACCTTGTTAGTGGTTGTTCTTTGTTATTTCATATATATATAGTGGCGTTTTGTTATATGAAGATTCCGGTTTGTATAGGGTATATGTGTATATCCTAGTGTATTCAATATATTGTAAAACAAGAATGTGTCTATAGTACACGGATGCCCCAATCGCACTATCATTTTCTATGTTCAGTGGACCGTGAAATTGGGGGTAAAAACTCTAATTTGACATTAAAATTAGAACGATCATATCATAGGGAACATGTGTACTAAGTTTCAAGTTGATTGGACTTCAACTTCATCAAAAACTACCTTGACCAAAAACTTTAACCTGAAGCGGGACAGACGGACGAACGGACGGACGAACGAACGAACGAACGGACGCACAGACCGAAAAACATAATGCCCCTCTACTATCGTAGGTGGGGCATAAAAATAACCAAAGAACAAACACTCGTTATTTTCAATTACTTTTGCCAATACGTCCTAATTTGTGGTAATCCTAAAGATTCATTGGGTGTATTGACGTAGACACAATAATTTCACACGACGTCAAGTGTTGGGTGATTTGTCTCAAACTGTCAATATGCTTCACTACTTTAACAGCAGTTCCTTACTTTAAAGACAAATCCGTCAATGTTGTACATGAAGATTTTTCAAGTTGCATTGACAAATAGTGTAATCTACCTCTAGGATTTGCTGATAACATATTGTAATCTTCTAAGTAAACTCTGTGTGAAAGTAAAGAAGAAAAATTATACCTGCTGTTTTATAGTATTTACATCACTAAGAACATCGGATCGAATGCGATTGTTAATGGTCAATGCACCACCTGCATAGCAACAACGGAAAACATCAGACATTGTAAAGGGGAATGACTATTAAGCCCCAAAATTCCATATTTTCAAAACTGTTTTTGTACAGATATAAACAATAAACGGATTTATTTTGCGAGCGTTATACACGGACTTTATAAAACCATTTCAGTTTTATTTCAATATCTTGCGTACAAAGGTCACCGATGCCTTCAAGTCTTCTACAATCTGGATAAATGACAAATTTGCAAATCATCGGTTATGATGAAAGTTGTCTTTAATCTGAAAATAAAAACTTTCACTGATGTTCCATCTATCAAGATATTTCAGCAGAAAGTGTATTTCTGTAAAAGCTATATTTCCACAAATTTTTTACAATTTTAAAACCTCATCATAAATTTTTATCGGGATTTTTATTAGTTTCTGTTAAATTAATTCACCTTTTTTCTGTGGATAATATAGAGCTTGACAGATAGTATAGATACATGTCCCTTGTTGAGGACCGTATGTCGACCACTAGATTGTTTTAAGGGTAGGCGGGTTACAATATAATACTTCACATCTATGATTATGCATATGTGTGTACAACGTTAGCAGAACATAAAATTTTAATCTTCAATTTCATTAAAATTTTGGGTCCAAATAATAGTTGATATCTGTCTGCTGAATGCGAATATTGGAAAACAGTCCTGGTTTTTATTTCATTTTTCATTTTAAGAAGAAAAACAGGTATTATCTTTATCCTTATTTATCTTCATGTGGATAACATATATTTTTTAAACTCAAAGAACATGCAAAGGTTCCGTGTTGAAGACCGTACTTTGACCTATAATGGTTTACTTTTATAAATTTTGACTTGGATGGAGAGTTGTCTCATTGGCACTCATACCACATCTTCTTATATCTAAAACATTACACTACGGATGCTACGGTGTTTACATACAATGCTGTTCACCACTTTCACTCAATATTCTGTACCGTTTGTCATACAAGTGAGAGGTTTAGCAAGCTTTAAGACCATGTTTAATCCACCATTTTTCACATAAGGAAATTCCTGTACCAAGTCAGGAATATAACAGTTTTATTTAATTCGTTTGATGTTTTTGAGCTTTTGACTTTGCCATTTGATTAAGGACTTTCCGTTTTGAATTTTTCTTGGAGTTCAGTATTATTGCTATTTTACTTTTTATCAAACACATGTTGTGATTGTCGTGCATCGGGTTTGCTTTTCACTATACTTCTCCGCTGCTTCACTGACGAGAGAGTAAGTAATGTTGCTCATCACATAAGCACAAACAAACGCGTTTCAAACATATGACATTAACGGCCAAACTACATATAATTGAAAATGGAAATGGGGAATGTGTCAAAGAGACAACAACCCGACCAAAGAGCAGAATACAGCCCAAGGCCACCAATGGGTCTTCAATACAGCGAGAAAATCCCGCACCCGCAGGCGGGCTTCAGATGTGTATTAGTGTATACTATGTCAAATAGCAGTGTTGTTATGATCCCTAATATATTATATTTAGATCCTGTGTACATGTCCTAGACATTTCAACCCGGTAGAAGGAAGGGGAAGAAAAGGAAAATCAACATATGAAACATATCCAACACGATTCGATTCTTCAGATTATGCCCAAGTTCGACCATACAGATGTTCAGGTATGAGAGAAGAGTTCCTCGACGAGCTTGAAGGACTCGACACCTACTAACAACTTACTAATATACAAGAATCAGGTAATCTATAGTCATGAAGACTTTATTTTTCTTTACCATCACTTAATTATTATAAAGCTTTTGAAAAAGACGTTGATACATACTTATATATATTTTGAAGGAATATTAAATATCTGGTATTTATTTAATGTTGTAATCATCAGATTTTGGTTATAAAGACATAGGAAAAAAATTAGTTAAGCCACAAATTCATGTTCCATGTCGGGAACTTCGTCGGTGAATGGCTTAGATCATATCTTAATGCTTTCTGTTGTTATGAAAATTTGATGTTGATGGCAGATATTTGATAATATGTATTGAATTTACTTGCATCACTACAAGATCCGAAATCAATTTGAAGAGCTTGGAATATTGTTTAAGCATTTGTCTATTGTTATAGACTGTATGTTAACCTCTTGGAATATTGTTTAAGCATTTGTCTATTGTTATAGACTGTATGTTAACCTCTTGGAATATTGTTTAAGCATTTGTCTATTGTTATAGACTGTATGTTAACCTCCTGATGTGTTAGATTTTGATGTCGTTGATTTGCTCTCTCTTTAATTCATATTCCTTTTTCTTAATTTTCAACAGCCGCAAAGTACTGACCATTACTATGAAACGCGTGAACGGACAATGATCGTTTACCATTTCTTCAAAAATATCAATTCAGTCAGTGATTATTCATTTAGAAGTGTATACCAGTAGAATAGACTTTTTCAATGTCGTTTTTTTCCTAGCCTTTAAAGTCCCTGGAATTTAGACTGATTATGTTTAGATAAATGTTGTATGCTGTATAGTAAAAACAAAATACACATGGTATTTGAGATAATCACAAAAGAAAGCCTTGGTAATTGTACACGACCTGTCCAATACGTCAGATACTAAACTAAGCTGACTTGACCAGTTGGCTTAATTTAGCATTTGACGTAATCCTAAATAATAATGTCATCCAGGCAATATCAAATGAACGGATTTTCCTCCAAAAAAACAGACCTTTGTTGAATTTCTTTGGATATTTCATGTGTTATACCAGATTTTTGTTATACTTTATCATTAGTAGAAAAATGAAAAAATAATGAATCATATCAATGGTTATAAAACCATTAAAATTCTTCATTGTCATATATTAATAATATGTAGTGAAAAATTTGAAGGTTACTTCAGTTCAGTCCAGGTGAAAAACAGAGTAAATATGACAGTACATACAGACGGAATACGAAATACTTTAAACTATAGACAAAAATAGACCGGATGCGTTCACATCTGGCAGCGTATATTCCATATACTAGTAAGTCTGCCTTACTTTTCACACGATTTCAAATAGAGTAGCAAGAGCTACAGCAATGACCATACAGGAAACGGTAATAATGTTAGATACAAAAAAAACATGAACACATAGGATTATAAATGAGAAGGCTGAAATTACTTTATCATTATACTACTCATTAACTAAAAATGCTAACCTGCTCTCAAGTATATCGAATATACTGAGATACATTAACACCAAGTTAGGAGGTGATGGTGTGGACGAAGCCACTTTCGTTCTTGTTCGACTTAATGCGATTCCCTTATTTTTTGTTTTTACCTTGATTTGTAACTTAGTATGGGTTAATGAGATTTGAACATTGGTGTACTACTGTTGCCCCTAATTTCACACAACTTTTTCGGAATTGTTCGTTTTCACTGTTCTTTAATTTTATGTTTGGTTTAACCTTGCAAAAGTAAAATAACAATAATACCGAACCCCAAGGAAAATTCAAAACGGAAAGTCCCTTATCAAATGGAAAAATCAAAAGCTCAAACACATCAAACGAATGGAAAACAACTGTCATATTCCTGACTTCGTACAGGCATTTCCTTATGTAGAAAATGGTGGATTAAACCTGGTTTTATGGCTAAACCTCTCACTTGTATGACAGTCGCATACAATTTCATTATAATTACAATAATGTGGGGATAATAAAAAAACCATAAGTCCAAGAAAGACGTGGAAAGATTCTTTTAACTGATTAGCATTCATGGTTTTACACTTATTTGATATATAGGAATGATTATGAGCAATCAAATATGAATTTGTAATTCCGTTTTTACTGTTTGGTATATTTTTTAGAAGATTTTTTTAACATTTTCATACATTTTTCTTTATTTGTTTTGTAGTCATATAACACAATTTTCGTGATGTAACGTCATTAGTTTGAAAATATATGTGGTTTAGCATTTTATGTTAGGATAATTCTATGCAAAAACGATAACAAAATTAATTTCCTAATTTTTTGCACTATAGTATATGTTAAACTTTATGTAATGAAGGTTGGATACGTGATAACGGTGGTAATTGTGTTAAAGTATGCATCTATTCTTTACGTTGTACAGTTTTAAATTATCACAAATTACCAAAATAAATTTAGATTGCAAGTTTATCTTTACAAATTACCTGATAAGTTTATAAAAAAATGTTGTGCTTTAGGTCACAATGAGACAATACGACGTTCATGTCACATATCTAAACTCTTCTCGGAGGATAGTGATTTTCGGTCCCAAAAGCTAACTCTTTTTCTTTTGCATAACAATAGATTTCTTAATATTAATCAATTTTCTTGTGATATTTTTTTATGTTAGGACATAAAAGATAACAATATCATATCGAGAATTTATTATAATAGGTCAAATAAAGGACAGTTTCTTTATTTTATAAACTTTAGCTTTTAAAATTAATTATGGAAAATGTGAGTTTAATTTCGCACGAATGTATAGCAAACATTAAGGATTTTTGTTTTGCTTTTTGGGGAGGGGTAACTTTAACATATATTGAACACGTGTACATTTTTAAAATTGTATTGTTATAATTAGTTTTACTGGTTGTTTGCTACATATAAACACACATGCTGGTCATTTGAAGAGACTTCTAAATAATATACTTTCCGTCTACTCCCACATATTTATTTCATTTTTTTTCCATATTGCTTTACACAAAAAATCTAGACCAAAAAAAAAAAAAGATTGATTTTGGGAAATTTATACTGTCATACTAAACATATCTATTATTTGTGGTGCTCCAATGTACGCATGATTACATTTCCACTCCACAACAACCATGAAATTAATATTATTGCACATTTAAAGTATTGTATGTCACTAGGACATCTTTATAGGGAATTGCTAGCATTTCCATATAACTTAATAAGTTAAAACTAAAAAGGACAGCAATATTACCCTGACGTAGAAATTACACTATAATGAATTGATCTTACTCTCTTGGGAACTTCTTTTCTGAGTTACATATGAAAATATTATAAAGAAATTGAATATAGATGAAATGATGTCAACTTTTAAAAACAACTTCAATGTTATCAGACGGAAGTCGAAAGATAAGTGAAATTTTGAATAGATCTTATAGCTTTTGACATTTGGAAACAAAAGAACTTATAGCAAGTTAGTACAATTGTTTTCAGGTTAACATCATGATCAATGAATATACAATTCAAGTTGTTTTGTTCGCAATTCATGGACAGTAATTTGCTTCCGTGTTTTTTATGTCCGTCCTAAAGAAAAATCATGGGAATACGTAAACTGATTCAGTAAACTATCATTAAGTACAAAATTTTTTTGTTATAAGAATTTCATTCTAATCAGCTTATAATAGAACGAAGTCTACCATAACATCGAAGTTAACACACCTCATGAATCTTTTCATATGCAAAACTATCCATGTGTCAGATTTTTTTAGACTTCACATGAAAAAAAGACAAACAAAACAAATGTCGACATTCTATACTTCCGTTGTGTTGAATGCTTTGCATGACCATCGATGCAAAGTTTTATCATTTATAATAAAATGCGAGATAATATTTTTTCTTTGTATTTTAAATTCCAAAGTAAATCTTTACTATCGTTAGGTGCATATGTGGATATATGGGAGGCACTCTCTCCAACGAAAATTATATCAACAGTATAGCAATTACTGATTTTTTTCTGATTGGTTGGTATTGACGTATACCTCACATCTCTTTAGTTCATGCATTCCCTTTTATGACATTTTTTTTAGATAAGTGAAGTAAAGCACAGCTGATTCATCTTGTTTTGGAAAAAAGGGGTGGTATGTTTTTTTTTAAATAAACTTTGATTCTAAATTTATTGAATAAACTATTTGCTTCAGAAGGGAAGTGAAAACAATATACTGCCAGATTTACATTAAAAACAAACGGTAAAATAAGTATATTGAGTTTCAAATTACAAAAAATAAAACATTCTCATTCCACCTTCCACCATACACAAGATGAATGGTTGGTGACTTGAGCATTTCTTCAAACCTAAATCTCTGTTGGTTTTCAGATTACTTTTATCTTTTTTCAGGACGAAGACCAGGCAGAAGAAACAGACAACGTAACAATCGAAGACAGCGTAATCGAAATAGAAATAGACAACATAGACGTTCGCGATCATAAATTTTCAATGCATACATTTATATCATTTGATTCTAATTAGTTTATTCATTTTTTATTTTATGCATCTGAATCGATCTAAACAGTCATATATATTTCAGTCAAATGAATGACAGAATAACGAGAAATTTGCTATAACTCTTGATTTGCTTATCCAGTAGAACTTTTCTTTCCTGTTTGAAATCAAAGTCAAATCCCATTTCATACTTTTCAATGATATGGGGAAACTTTATAAACATGCAAAGAAGGCAACTGTAGAAATAGCTATTAAAAAACGGCTCATGTTTTGGTATGAAATTCTCTGAAAAAGATATTTATGCCATAATGTTATGACTTCCGTGTGCCAAACGATTGTTTCCGATGAAACCTTCATCCTAAACCCTCGAGAAAAAATTTTTATAAAACGTTAAAGAGCGTTAAAACGTAAGGAAAAAAGATCGCCCAAAACCGTCTAAGGTCAACTTTGCATGACTGAGCTGCGATCTTAGTTTAAACACAATTACATTATCATATGAAAACTTACAAAAAAATCAGACATAATTAATGTATCATGTAAACCATGAAAATACCAACGCGCTGGCTTCTGGACGAATGGTATTCATGTGACTAGTAGCCCCCTGACAGGTACTGAAAAAACGCATGATATTAATTGCGTGTGCACAGTTCATCTTTCTAGAATAATATTTTGAAATGTGCAAATGGTTTTTTTTTTTACAATTTACTTCTATTGCCGCTATGATTTAATCCTTAATGGAATACATTCAACAATTTAATACCTATGTCACTCCTAGTTAAATATTATATTTAATACACATTTTGCAAATTTTTTAATTCTGAATTTGTTGAATTAAGCTGTAAAAGCTCTGGACAACCTTTCAATAATAGGAAATTGAAAATGAAACACACATTCCCCAAGTACTATATGTAATTCTACTCTTGTAGTCTTATTTGGATGTAAAAAACCTTAATTGAAGTACATTTCGTATGAAGCACTACGTCTCAAAATTTGCGGACGATAAACGCTTTCACAGCCCTATGAAGTTTTGAAAAAGGAGAAATGATTTCACTAACATTACATTTTAATACCAAATTAGTAAATAACGAGTTAAATTAAGTTTTTAATTTTTGTTAAATAGTCCTACGCATTATAGTAACTTTGTACTGTGTAGCGTGTGCAGTAACGAGTTCTCTGCTTATTCACATTTTTGTTTTCATTTACATTTCATCTTGTGACATACATAATTGCTGTTGAAATGGTAAAAATGTTTCTTTGTAACTACCTAACGACTCAGAATCTTCTTCTGGAAAATAAAACTCATACTCAATGTTCGACCATATTTTTTTTATTATTCAATCAGTCTCTTTATTTGGTATTCCAATGAACAACCCATGATCATATTAATTAGAATAGTTTCGTTTGTTATTCATGGCACATTCATTTCATTGCATCCATGTACTAGTTTATCTTTCCGCTTACATATGCAGACTCCAAAATATGATTGTTAACAACAAAATAAAATTATATGCCGTGATTGAATACGAATACTCTCGCAATTTGTAGTTTTATACCGGGAATTCTTCGTGTACAACATTTCTTCACTACAGGTTCCATTAATAAATCAGGCTTTAGAAAGTATATTTACTTTCAAACCTTTATAAGTTATACTTACTCTTTCCATGTTATGTTCAACTTTTATGAGAGAAGGTATACACATTCAGTTTTAATTTCTAGTATTGTTATGTTTCCATGTGTTGGTCTTTGAAACTATAGAAGCACTGCCTAAGATTATTACATGCATTTTGGTGTAATATGATAGAACGGAACATAAAGGTATTGTGCATTTGACTAGATGTGAAGGTGTATTGCCAGCCCTTTTCTTCAATAGTCTTTATTTTAAATAATATCATTTTGGATTCTACATTTGGTCGCACACAATTTATAAAGCGCTATTTTAATATATTGACAAATTTGTCACTATCTAATAATCCTATTGATAATAGTCATATGTATCAGAACTACAATAGGCAGGTGGTAATTACATGTAATGACATATATTTATGCGATTCTACAGATAACAAAGTTCCTTTTCTACTAAAAGTTATGAAGTATGAATTAGACGATTATACACGGCATATTTAATTAATGATCAATGTCATTTTCCCAATAGAACGTAATGAAGTAAACTCTGTATTATTGCTCTTTAATTACTTTTTCCTAAGACACCTGTCATTTTTCCATTTCAAAGTCTTGTCCTTCTCACACTGTCCTTCCATTTACGTTGAACTCATGAACTGCTCTTGGTAATGGTGGCTTTACAATTCCTGGTTCTCTGCTTTTTGTTCTTGAAATCAAAATTGATAAGATTGATTGATTGTCGGTTGCTTAACATCCAGTGGCAAACGTTTCATGTATGTTCAGACCGGGAACAAATTAACAATTCATACAAAAGGTATGTCCTGCAGTAGGGATCGATAGTGATGAAGGGCGGGGAATTTGGACTGCCCCTGGAAAATTAGGGTACATTGGACAAGGCCACCTACGGACCCCTCAAAAAATAGTTGCAAGGGATCTTACAATCTTGGTACTCTCTCTACACGAATTATCGGGAAAAATTATTACGCAACTGAGAAAAGTGACAAAAAATGTAGAAAATCAAATTGAACGTGTAGCGGGGAAATAGACATAAAGAGTACTGGAGCAAAATGTATGGATTCAAGGAACATTAAAAGATAAAGCAAGAGATGACAGTGTATGATCAGCACAGGGAATTTACATAACAGGATATGCCAAGGAGAGGATGCGTGACAAAATTTGGAACAAAACAGACATACATATATCTGTAAATAAATATACACTATACAAAAATGTACAAGAAATAAAGGCAATGTGTGATTAGATTTCATAAATTTACTTGCTTGGAATAAAGTACTTTTGTACTATCCAGTTTTATATCAAAACAGGTAGATAGTCAGGAAATTAAGGATACATGACGTTAAATGTCTTTGTTCAATTGGAAAAACCTCATATCGATATTGGACGTTGAAAGTGTTTTGAATGGTTAGATTCAACGTTCTACTAGTCTGTACTAAGGAAAGCCACCATTTTTAATTCCGAATTTTTGGTATGTAATTTCTCAAGAAAATTAACAAAAAAGTCACATTTTGTGTCTCAAAACCATTCAGAAGCGTACAAAAAGTGTAAATTAGTCTAGTGTCTATGTTTGACATAGTGTGTATACCTATGAAGTCACATTGTCTAGATGCCAAAGACGATGTAACAGTTTCGCGGACTTTTCATTCATGGCATTTTTAAGCCAAACTTTTTACTAAAATGGAATCATTTTAATATGTGGCATCATAATGGAGATAACTGTATTGTATTTTAAGCTTGGCCTTCGTAAAACTTGATTTTACTGTGGCAAATGTCCATTTACCTAGCTCCGCTACGTGTCGCTAGGTAAACTCAACTTGCGACATTAAAATCTACGTTTTACGAAGGCCAAGCTTAAAATACAATACAAATATCTCCTCATTCAACTCCTATAATGTTACTAATAAGAATTTTTGTGAGTATTATCTTCTTTCAAATAAAAAACATTTAATGCAATAATATGAAGCATAATATGAATTTTGCTCCCTCTCATCTTTCCAAAGGCTTCTGTCTTGACATGAATTATCATTGATATGGTCATAATTATAAATTAACTGTTTACAAAACTTGAAGTCTTTTGAAGACGAAACGCTCGTCTGGCTTACAAAATTTCCTGGTATCTATGGTAATTTTATAGATATCTACACATGTTTATAATTAAAAAAATTCAGGTTTATATAAATTTATGTTTAACAATGATGGATTGCATTGATTTAATTCACATTTCATACTAAAGATCCCAAGCTAAAAAAGTACAATAACTTTGGCATAAAAACATTTTATCACAAGAAAAACGTATCATTTTTAAGTTATGTCATAATTTTATAGTATTATTGTATATCAACAAATATCTGTATGTTATTTCTTTTGACCAATTGGGCGATCCCATTTGGTATGTTAGTCCGTATATTATCATCGCTCCAGTAATTAAACTTTTAACAATAACTGTTTCCTCTTATTTTCATATATTAATTCGGAGCAAATTAATTTTTTTTTAGATAAAAACAAAAACAAAACAGCAGCTCCCTAAGCAATATAGACGAAATGGTGTCGTTAGTTCAGGCTCCTTTTTATTCTAAAGTTCTCAAATTATTTTTATATCGTTGATCTTTCCTTAGGTTGGTTCTGGGTAGTCCTGCTAATAGTAAAAGCAGACATGCACAATGACACAGTAAAATCGGAACATCTTTATGATTGCTAACTGTTCATATTGTAGATCCTGATAACACAGTCTGATGCATTATTTTAATTCATAAATTGACATTAAATGTCTGGCTAAAATTTTGACGACACAACAATTACGCAATCCTCATCTGAATTGATACACAGAAAACAATACGCAAAGTTTCCTGTTTAGACAAGATTTCATTTACAATTATTATGAATAAATACATCATTTTTACAGTAATCGGAGTACCTATTAAAATACTAGAATAATAATATTACGTAAAATCTCATTTTGAGTTAGATGCATCACATTAGAATGATCAAGCATATCCAATTCTTGTAAGATCAAGGAAACTTAACCAAAATTTTCCAGATTGATGTACACCTTATAAGAGTTACTTCAAATACTTATTTGTTTTTCAAGACCCTTTCATTTCATCAAAGTTTTTAACCACTTCATCTTTTTTATGTGAAGCATATCAATTTGTAATTGTTTCCGACTCATTTACCATTTTATCAATAATACTGTGGGATATAACATATCTCATTCAAAAAGTGTTTCCTTTTTTCCATTAGATTATCAATATAAAAAATAGCATTTTGAGATTAGAAATGTCTATACGAACGAATTAAATAGACATAAAGGCAAAAAATAGTGATATCGCTACATCTATATGTATGGAAGGAGATGAAACCTTTCGTGAAACTGTGGTGGCATTACGCTAGTTTTTAACAAATTAAAAAGCGTTGAAAAAAAATGAAATTCCTTTGAATTTAAGCGTCAGGGAAAAAACATGGTTGTGAAGGTATTCGTTCTAACCCGCTAGCCTATTATGGCCTCTTTTCCGTTAAATAGAACCTCAAATAAATTACAAAAATAAATCTCCAACAGTCCAAACTTCCTGCACTAAATTATTCGTTATCAGCAATGCCCAAATTATACAAGTTTAATAATAAAATTTCTTCCTAATTTTTCTTGCATTAGTGTCTATACTGTTATAAAAATACAATACAGTCGGACAATATTGTTCTTTCATTGTCATCACAAATAATCGGTTACAAAAGGCTAATACTTAATTACAGTGGTCTGTGCGTGTTGTGGTCATCAATTGAACATGATTAGCGTATAATTACAGTACAGTTCACAATGCTTGTTTAATAACTTATATTCATTTTTAATACTGACTATGAGAGAAAAATAACTACACAATTACTTACTCGGGAACTTTTTGCTTATATATACAACTTGTTTTTGAGTGCCAACTAAAATAAGATCATTATATCAGTGTAATATATCCTCCATTCTCTAAAGTTCCAACAAATCTTTCCTTCCATTGTCATCTATAATTAATTTCTGTTGTAACTACTTATTAATTACAGCGGTCAGTGGACGAAGTTGTCTTTATTACTTGTTTTGATTTTGTTCCTCTGACAACTTTCTGGTGATAATAAACCAATAATACAAGTGATATGAATTGCCTTTATTAAGTAAAGAAATTATCCGGACGATCAGAGCACAAAATCTGATTGATATGTTGTGTTCTCAGGTTGTGTTATTGCAAGATTTGTTTACATGACTACAGTTTGCTTTGAGTCTCTGTGTCGTATTGAGGCAACTTTTAATCTTAAGACGGTGGTGGATAATTCTATGAAATCATATGACAATTAACAGACAAAACATTTACAGGGTAACAGTAATTTTTTTTTCAAATGTGCACTTACAATTTAAAAATGGTACAATATGGCAATTTTTATCAGAGTTTCTGATTACCATTAAATCGTAAAACCTTGACATAACATAATTCCTACATATTATCTTTAAAAGCAAGTGCAAATCGTCAGCTGCATTATATTCATGTATGCATTAAGATATACAATTATTGAATACTTGCGGCAAATTCTGACGGTTTTACAACTCTTGACCTTTAAATAGAATTTTGGCAGCTGTTTTTTAAAGATCAGTAAAAGTTTTGAAAACTGCAATATATGTTTCTTGTCATTACCTGATTTT